GTTAAATGGGTAGTTATAAAGTGGTATAATAAGTTCTGAAATAGAATGAAGCAGAGATTGCTGTGAGAGTGTGCAGGAAGAAAACAAGTCCAGCCCAAGGATTCAGGGGAGGCTTCTGGGAAAAGATGACACTTGAGCTAGGTATTAAATGATTCATGGGAGAGAGTATGAAGATGGACAAGAGGGAAAATTGTTATATAAAAAACATCATATACAAAGCTATGAAGGCATGAATATATGTTTTGGATTCTGGGAGATAGATAATACTTCAGGGTGCTTGGGACATAGACCAGGGCTAAGTGGCAGGTTGAGGAAATAGTTTGAATTTTTTTAAATGGCAATTGGGATCTGTTAGACGGCTATTGGTACCTGTTAGATGGCTATTGGGATCATTGGTGTAAACAGGGAAGTGACATGGTTGGGTCTCTAGTTTAGAGATTAATAGGGAGACCTGTATAGACAATGAATGATAGTGAAGAGGATGAGGCTGGAGGTGGGAAGAAGAGTAGTAGAGAGGATAAAGACGAAGGGAGCAATAGATGATATATGACAAATAAGTTATGGGAGTATGAGAGAGCAGGGGCCTAGGATGATTCTCAGATTTCTGACTTGGGGGACTTGGCCATGGGGCCATTTATCTAGGTAGAGACATTGGAATGAGAAGTAAAGTCAGAGAAGAAAATATGGTGCTTGTTTTTGCAGATGGATCCAGATGGAGCTATGCAGTAGACAGACTGTATGTGGGATTGGAAGGCAAAAGAGAGTTTGAGCTGGAACAGGGGTGTATAAAACACACACACATTGTCTGGTTTGCTGAAGAGAAAAGTGGGTTTTATTTGTTTTGCTTTATTTTGTTCCTCTTTTTAAAAATTAATTTCAGAGAGGAAGGGAGAGAGAGAGAAACATCAATGAGAATCATCCATCGGCTGCCTCCTGTACGCAACCTGGGTATATGCCCTTGACCAGAATTGAACCTGGGACCCTTCACTCTGCAAGCCAACACTCTATCCACTGAGCCAAACCAGCAAGGCTTATTTTGTTCTTGACAATTAAAATATTAATGAGTTTTATTTTAATACTAAAAGTATAAAGAAAAATAGAGCTTATAATCCTACTACTTAAATAACCCTTGTTGAAAGGAAGGGAGGATAATATATATATTGTCAGAAAATACACACAGTACAGAAAAGCACAACATAAAAAAGTGCAGGCCGACCCCCAGTCTTCCATTCCCTTAACCACTTGTTAACACATTCTTGTGTTTCCTTCTAGGAAAACAAAATGCATATACTCACTGGATTCTGAATATCCCCAGAGGGGTCCTGCGATGTACAGTGTTTAAGAAGTCCATTTTATTGGGCAAGTTAACGTTTCTCGTTGCTTTGCCAGGCTTCACAAACCCATCTGACCTGGTGGGGCAGGTCCGGGTACTCCCTGGGGAGAGACAGGATCTCCATATTCCTGGCTAGTATGGGGGCTAGCTCAGGGTAGGTGCTCCGTAAAGAGTAAATGAGTGAACTGTTGCTGCATCTTGGAGATCTGAAGGCCTTTGTCTGCAGTTTCGGTTGGTTAAGCGACTTATTCAGCAAATGTTTTCAGAGTCCTGACTAAGTTTGCAGTGTTGTATGTTGGGAGGGAGGAAGGGCAGAGGACCCAGCTTCTGGATTCACTGAAGTTAGAACTGGGAAGGCCAGTGATCTTCCATCTTCTCACTCAAAAAGAAATGTTTTTATTGATTTGAGAGAAAGAGGAAGGGAGAGAGATAGAAGCACTGATGAGAGACATGGATCGGCTGCTTCCTGCATGCCCCCTACTGGCGGGTCAAGCCTGCAACCCAGGCATGTGGCCTGAGCAGGAATCGAACCCAGGCTCCTCTTGGTTCATGGGTTGATGCTTTACCACTGAGACACATGGGCTGGGCCCATCTTCTCACTTTTTGAATGGGAAAACTGAGGTCCAAGTTGTGGTTATGATTTGCTGAAAGCCACAGGACTTGAAGATTCATCGGAAGGAGTATAAAAATGGACAAGAGGGAAGTGTTAGCATAGGAAATGTTATTACAAAGCTATGAAGTATGTAAGCCAGCACTGGAATCCGAGTGTTTGTGGGAAGGGAGGAGCACCTGGTGGGAGGGTTGCTAAGCTACACTTGCTCCTTCCTACCCCTTCCCCTCCTGCCATAAAAGTAGCCACTAAATCCGTAGGCCCGTGTCGGCAAACTCACTATTCAACAGAGCCAAATATTAACAGGACAACGATGGACATTTCTTTGGAGAGCCAAATTTTTTAAACTTAAACTTCTTCTAATGCCACTTCTTCAAAATAGACTCGCCCAGTTCATGGTATTTTGTGGAAGAGCCACACTCAAGGAGCCAAAGAGCTGCACGCGGCCCGAGAGTCGCAGTTTGCTAACCACTGCCCTAGACAGAGACCCGATTTTTTCAGATGCCCAATGCAGGTCTTGGCCTGTGTATGATGGACATGGTTGGTTAATATCTTGTACCTATTAGAGGGAGCCTGGATAGTATACTAGCAGAAGGAAGAACACTGGACTGGGAATTGGGAAGCCTGGATTCTGTGCCAGCTCTGCAATACCCACCATACTGCTGTGGGCCAGTCACATCCTCTCTCCGCTGCAGGTGGGGTGGGCCTAACTCCATCTCCAAGGTCCTTTCTACCATCATTGCTCTCTAAATGTCAGGTGCTATATTTAACCAATGATAGGAAATCAGATTTTAAATGTCTGATTCTAAAATCCTGGTTTTTGAAGATTCCGGGGACATGGTGTAAGGCATCTTACTCTGTGCAGAATCCTGTGTTGTGACACCTGACCACATAATTTTTTTTCAATCTGAGACCAAGGCCAAAGAGTGTGAAGCCAGAGAGGACCCTTCAAGCCCTTCCAAAGCACCACACAGTGCAGGAGGTGGGGGAGATGAAAAGCAGGGCCCATCCTTTGGGCCTCAGGGATCCTCCAGTAGCCTTGGCAGATATGCCGGGCCGGGTGAAATTCCTGGTTTTGCACTGGAAGCAGAGAAGGGAACTGAGCCACTGCTTCCAGTCGCCCTGAAATCCTGTTCTGTCCAGTGTTCTTCCTACACATTGGGCAGGGGTCTCTGGGACACCGTGGCCTGTGAGGGGAGCCCACGCAGGGGGCCCCAGATTCCAGGCTCTGGAGGAACTTAGAGGAAGACCCTCCAGGGCTGTAAGCTCTCCTAGGAACTCGCAAAACATCTAGGGTAGGCACTGGAGCCCCACCCCCGGGCAGACCCACAGATTCACTTGGAATATTTTCTCCTTAGGATCCCCGTGCCTGTTTTTGCTTGTCTTTTAATCTTGGAGTTCGAGACCCTCTGGCCGGACTTTTCCAGGTGAAAGATAGACAGCACACAAACAGGGGCATCAGGAAAGTGATCTGGGAGTCCTGGGTTCGGGTCCCAACTCTGCTTCGAACTCGCTGAGACATCTGTGTGAGTGAGCTCTCCAGTGAGCGCGCTGCGTTCTGCAAGGCAACTTGTAAAGCACGTTCGCATCTCTTTCCTCCCCTTGAGCGGGCGCCACCCTCCCCATCTGAGGGGAAGAAAACTGACCGGGGACAGGGGACAGGTCCTGCCCCAGCCACGCGGAGAAAGGGGGACATCGCCGGGGTGAGCGGCTTCTCCCGGCGCCCAGTTCTCTCCGCCCCAGTCCCAGTGGCAGCGCCCGGCCCCTGTCACCCGCGGCACCGCCCGCCCGCCCGCCGGGCCCGCGCTCCGGCAGGAGGGCGGCGGGAGGACGCCGGCGGCTCCGGCCTGTCAAACCTTCCGCCGGGCTCCGCCCAGGCCCCCCAGCCGAGGAGGCCCCGCCCCCGCGCCGCGATTGGCCACGGCGGGGCGGCCTCGGCCAGCCAGTGGCCGGTGTAGCTGTCGGGCAGGCCTTAGCCCCGCCCCCTCCGGGGTGCCGCCCCACAGGACGCCGGAGCCGTGGCGGAGGCTCCGGGGCCGCGGCGCCAGTGGAGGCACGGCCAGCGGTGCGCCCCGACAGCCGCTGCGGCCGTGGCGAGGTGAGAGGGGGCGAGGCCCTGGCGCGGGGAGGGGAGGGGGGACCGGCTCCCGGGCCGGAGATACGGAGATGGTCTCCCTGCGACGTCCGTGTCTGAGGAACTTTGGGGGAGCGTGGGAGCCGCCAGGGGAAAGGAAAGTTGGGGTCCCCGGGCCCACTTTCCAGGAGGAATGACGGAAGGGCGGAGGCTCTGTGGAGAGGGATCCCGCGTGGAGTGTGAGACGGGGCGGCTGCACGGGCTGCTCGGGGTCTGAGAGGGTGAACCAGTGTGTGGTCCCCAGCGTGCGTTTGCGGGGTGCCCGGGGTGCGGGGAGGGGGCGTGCCTGGCTGTGACTGACTCGGTGCGGGTCAGAGAGCGCGGCGTGTGCAGTTTCTCGGCTGCGCGTGGGAGCGGGAGTCTCGTGGCACCTGGCCGGGCCCGGCGCGCGGGAGTGGGCGTCCATCGCGGCTGAGGCGGCCGCGGGGGAAGCGCTGCCGCCGGGACCGACGGGCGCGCAGTGCGCATCCCGGTCCCCGAGCCCCGACGCCGGCATCCGGGCCCTAGAGGCCTCGTCCCCGCCCGCTCCCCGTCCCACCGGGGGACGCCGCCCAGGCGCTGTCCCCTCTCCAGCCTCAGTTTCCCCGGTCCTCGAAGGAGCGCTGGTTTCGGTGGAGGCGGGTTTGGGCGGGAGGGTGACGGGCTCCGGAGAACGCGCCGGGGCGGCCCGCGGCGGGGCCCCTCCTCGGCTCCCGGGGAGGAAGGCGCGCGCCGCTGCGGAGCCGCGCGGGGCCGGGTGGGTCGGTCAGGGTCGGGCCGGGGTGCGGTGGGCAGCCCGTCTTAGAGGGAGGATCAGCCGCGACCTGCCCGGGCGCGGCCCCGGGAGGAGGCGGGAGCCGCTCCCTTCATCCTAACGCTCCAGTGCCGTCTCCTCTCCGCAGGAGCCCGGCGCGACCCCCCTCGGCGCGCCCCGCCCCGGCGCCATGCACTGCGAGGTGGCCGAGGCGCCCTCCGACCGGCGGCCGAAGGAGGCCCCGGGCCCCGGCCGCGGGCCCGCAGGCCTCGGCGCGCACATGGCCTTCAGGGTCGCCGTGGGCGGTGGCTGCTGCGGGGACGGGGACCCTCGTGACCTGCTGCCCCGGCTGTCGGCGCCCCCGCTTCGAGCCCACGACCTCCTTCGGCCCCGGAGCCCCCGGGACTACGGTCCGTCCAAGGCCGCCGTGGGGAAGGGTAAGTGTGGCCCTGCCAGCGTGCCGGGCCGGGGCACCGCAGCTTTGCAGGAATCCTCCCGACAACTTGGTGGAACTTCGCTCGGAGGTCATCATTTTCTCTCCAGTCCTTTGGTATTAGCTTGTCATTCTAAAGCGATGCCTGGATAAGAAGCATCTAATTTAAATTGAATTAGCTTATTGGAGGGAAGTGTGCCTAGCAAGGTCAGATTACATAATTTTGCTTATGTATGTTTCTGATAAAAGTTTTGTGAAACTTGTCAAAAATCTTCTTATAAATTGGGGTGAGTAGCCACTAGAGTCAGCCTTCTCTCTCCCTCCCTCTCTCCGTGTCTCTCTCTCTCTCTCTTTCTCTCTGCTAGTTAAAGTCATACTTTCAAGTATTCCAATATTCATAAATAACAAAAACCCTCAGTTTCCCCATCTGTCAAGGAAGGAATTAATTATACTAGATGATTTCTGGACTCCTGATGGAAAATTTATCATCTGTAGATATAGCCTGAGTCAAGTTCCGACTTGAAAAATGGCTTTTCTGTTCCTGATGCTTCAGAAGCACACAGTCTTTGGTAAAAAGTTGCTTTGCAATCCTCTCCCTCGCCCCAGTGAGGCCAGTGGGTTTAAGGTACAGGCCCCGGTACAGTTTGTGGGCTCAAAGTCAGTGATGATGCCAGGATTCTCATGAACATGTTCTCATCACAGTTAATTATTATTGAGTCATTATAAGTTTCATGCTGACAAATAATTAACCAGAAATTGGGGAAATTGTTAAGGCAGTTGCCCCCGCTCCCCACCTCCCCATCCTGGGGAAGAAAACAAGGCTTTGGGCTTTCATTATTTTAGCATTTGGGACCTCTTGGTTCTTTCCAGGTGATTCTCAAGGAAGACAGAAACAGCTTATTTGATTTCTCCTTTAGCAGCGGCCCGGGCAACTTAAAAAGGTAGGGCAGCTTACCTTTGGAGAGGAGAGAGCCTTCTGGGTAAAAAAAATACCCTGCTCCCCAGTTCAGGGATGGGCAAGATGAAAAAACATAACACAGTATTTTTTTCTTTTTGATGAAAACACCTGACTTTGTAGGAGAGAGTTATTTCTTATTGTTTTAGATGTCAGTGTCTTTTCTAAGAGACAGAGATTATACCTTAGATTAGAAGAAAGATATAAGAAAACCACCTTTAGAGTGTCATTACTGGAGGAAACACATGAGGTTCTCTCCTACTAGAGAGAGAGGAGTGCTGTGCGGCAGGAAGGGAGTAACATTTGCTGTCCGGAGTTCCTTGGCTTGTCCCCCTCCATGCACAACCCTCCCTTAAACACATACCCTCTTGCAACGTTTGTAGTCTCAGCAAATCTAGTGAATGCATATCAAACAGCCTTTGTTCCTTTCATCTCAATGTCTTGTGTACTGATCTGACACTTCCATTCTCCAAAACCCAGTTATTTTTATGCACACGCCCCTTTCCCCCCTAAATTATGAGATCTTTAAGTTAGGATTGTATTTGGAAAGTGCAGGGAGGATAAAGGGCTAGGAGGAAGAGCCACTTTCCTCCAACCATAGAAGATGATCTTTCTGGTCATGCATTTTGTAAGAGGCTTCTAAACTGTTTTCTTCAGTCTCTGGCCAGGCTGGCAGGGTGGGATTTATCGTCCCCGTTTGAAAGATAAAGTAACGGAGGACTGGGGGTGGGAGAATGAGTCTCATGGAAAAAAGCTACCCAGCAGGTCTAGCTGGGGTTCTCTGGCCAACCCACTGCTCATGGACCTGGGCTTGGGGAGGCTTCTAAGAGGTTTCTGACCCAGGCTCTGACCCAACTTCTTCCTCTAAATGGGCCTGAGAGGAAACCAGAGCGTCATCGGCAGCCCTCTTACAGTGCCGTAAGGAAACGGCACCCCGACTCTGCCCCATTGCCACCAAAATATCCCTCAGACCACGCAACCCTTTGAATGTTTGGTGCTGAGCTCCAAGCCTGGAGGCTTATTGGAAACAGATAGAAATACCAATAGGAAAATATTTATTGACTGTGCTGGGAATTGTGAGACCTTGCCACGGGTGATCCGGGAGACCTTGGGGGAAGTGATTTTACTCTCCGAGACTTAGTTTCCTCGTCTGTGAATCTCGCGGGAGACTTCCTTTGAAAGACTGAGGAGAGAGCATTCGTGAGGGTGTGAAAGGGCTGCCTGCGTGCCTGGTTGGTTTGGGGGATTTACTCTCGTAAATGTATTTAACGTTCTCCACCTTTGGTTTTTTATTAGCGCGAGAGGTCATAATGCTTACCTCCCAGGGTACATGAGACAATGGCTGCAAGAACGCTTTATAAAAAAGGTGGGAGGGGTTTCTTTTATTAATTCATGCAGGGCACCAAGCTGGAGTCAGTGATACTTGCGGTAACGGAGACAGGGTGAAGAGGGAGAAAGGTTTGATTTTTAAAACATTGAATGTGAAGAGCCAAACCTGGTGTGTTAGCCAGAGGAAGCGGAGAGGAGCCAGGCTTCAGGTCTTGAGTGGCCACCCCTGCCCAGGGACCGGAGAGAAGACAGTATTGCCTGGTCTGGAATCAGGTTTCAGACGATCTGCCTTGTGCCTTGGACAGACCCTAAGCCGAGGAAGGGAGCGTATCCGTCCATGCTGCGTTTCCAGGTCTGGAGTCAGGAGGCGTGCTGGGGATGGTGGACTGACATTACCATCATTTACACTAAGAATCACGCTCTGTTTACGGCAGAGTCCCGTTTATCCAGATCCCAAACAGCTGGAAAGGCCAAATTACCAGATGCTGTGTTTTCCTTTTTTATTATTAAACACCCAACACTCTGCTTTTGGAAGTCCTGACAAGGAAAGAAGGTAAACATCTGGGCTTTGAGGAGGCGGTCAGCTTTGTGGTGATGGCCTGATGACTCTCCTTCCCCGCGCACAGAGCAGTTTTCAGTGCGTGTTCCCGCACACTCTCTCATCTGCCCTCACGCCAACTGTGCTCTGCCTCCCTCGTGGGCTGTTCGGGGGAGCAGACGGAGAAGGCTGCAGAGTGCCGGGCAGATACTGGCTCTTATTACTGCGATCCCCGTTATATAGAGGAAGAAGACACTGAGGTTCTAGGATGTGCTCAAAGCTACAGTGAGTGGCATTTTTTTTTTTTTTAAGGTTTCCTGCTTCCAATATTTGTTTCTGTTTCTATAGCTTGTTCCTTCTATATGCGTGTGTTGTTGGCCGAGAGCTGGTATTTGCTACGCGCTCCAGATTGTGCCCAGAGAATTTAATATATTTTGCTTTTGATATTTTTAGAAATGGGTAACTAGTATCTATGCCATCGTCTTAGTTTACCAGATAATTCTCTTTGTCCAGAGTTGCTCTTCCCAGACCAAAACCAGATAATTCACAGAGATTCACTGGGCCCTTTCATCACTTGACTGAGGCTAGACACGTTCTAGCAATAAAAAAGGGGCTGATGATCATGACAAATGTGGATTCTGCCATTAGTAAATAGCCGTCAGAATGTGGCTGTAAATGCCAAAAAGGAGTCAATCTTTTTCTTTCTTTCTTTCTTTCTTTCTTTCTTTCTTTCTTTCTTTCTTTCTTTCTTTCTTTCTTTCTTTCTTCTTAAAGCTAAAACACACGCACACACATTTTTAAAGGAAAACAAAAAAGGAAAGCAATTATAGGTTGTGTGCATGGGTGTTTGGAGCTGCTGGTGGTGGAGAGTAAGCGTGATGGTTTTGGTGGTGTTACCTGGTAGAGTTTCTTCATCTGAATCAGAAGCCACCCTGATCTGATGTTCTGGGAAAGCCGTGGAGGGGCTACCACGTCTGTAACAGAAAGGTATGAGTTATTTTGAAAGCATTTACCCCCTCCGGCTCTGGTGGGCAATTTGCTTGCATTTCATCCATTTTAAAGTGCTGGTCCTGTGATCCGGAAATAATCAGATCCAAATTTTTTTCAGTGCTTGAGATTTCAAATAAGGGGGAGAAAAACCTGCTGGCCAAATGTCAGGCTCAGTGAGACAAAGAGAAACATGTATGTGTGTGGGTAGGCAAATGAGATAGGAAGATGTTGCGGTCTACAGTTGTAACAGTTACATATCCAACAAATCTTTGTAGACATATAGTGGAAATATAATTCCCAAAGATTTCCTAAGAATCTTGTTTGGCTAGGATTTCTCTCTCCTTGCCTCTTCAGCCCTTTAGAAGCTAAGATTTGGTGTACAAAATAGAAGGGGGAGTATCCTGTGAGATCGTAACTTAATTTTTGTTGTTTCTGAGGTCCCAGGAGGGTCCCTCAGCTGTGGAAACCTATTGGTAGTCTGTGTTGCTCTGTCTGTGATTAAAAAAAAATGTAAGCTTCTTGCCCTGGCCGAGTGGCTCAGTTGGTGGGAGTGCAGTCCTGTACACCAAAAATGTTTCCGGTCCAGTTCCCAGTCAGGGAACATACCTAGGTTTCGAGTTCAGTTCTCAGTTGGGGTACATATGGGAGGCTACTGATTGATGTTTCTCTCTCACAGTGATGTTTCTCTCCTTCTCTAAAATCAATAAAAACATATCCCCGGGTGACGTTTTTAAAAAAAAAACACCCATAAGTTTCTTTATACTTCCGTGGTTTTCCTTCGCACTTCTCCTCCTGGATAAAAAGAAAGAAAGAAAAAAAAAAAATACACCAAAACCCACCGCATCTTTGAGTTATTCATCGCCCTGCGTAAGGTTTGCGTGAGAAGCTAAGTGTGCCAGCACACTTATTTTAACAGTGCGTTAAAATCCCATTACAGGCATAAGTGCACAATGAATCATTTAAAAAAATATATTCTTATGTTCTTTGTTCTGAATGTTGCATAATTATCATCATTTTCTCCAGTTTTATTTTGTGGAGTTTGGCCAGCATCCGAGAAAAGGGGAGAAACCAAAGTTTGGAATAGGGTTTGTCATCCCTTTTTGGATAGGATTAGGGGAAAAAACAACAAGCAAATAAATACCAACTTTATTTGTAAGTTGACTTTATTTGTAAGTCTAGCATGCAGTGAACA